CGAGCAATGGCGGGATTGGCGAAGTGACCGATGCCATACGGCAACCAGGCGAGAATATCGAGAACCGCGTGGGTGTGGGCGGAGAGAATGTTGGACAAGTTGGCGCCGTAGAGGACGTTTTCGAGGGCCGGGAGAACGCGAACCCAGATGTGCGGACGGTACTTGGCGTCGATGAATCTGCGACGCGATTAATACGAATTCGAAAACAGGCACGGAATTGGTGTAAGAGCTTACCGGCTACAGAAGAAATACAGGAGGTAGGTCCAGATGGACAGGGACGGCAGGAAAAATTGGTTCGTCGCGGGCATGAGCAGAACCAGAACAGTGGCGCAGAGTGCCAGAGTCTTGATGATAGGGGCCGACGGCGAGATGGCGAGGGAGAAGATGATTAGGGCGGCAAGGATGACGTATTGAATGTCGAGGATTCGCCAGGAGCGACGACGCAGGGCGCGGATCGAGTGCATGGGGTTGAAAGACGTGTTGAGAGCGGTAGCCTCATTGGAGCCGAGAACGAACCAGGCGTTGGTCGTGAAATTTGCGGTTGAGCGCTTCTTCTGATGGCCGCCCCTGCTCCGGCTGGGCCGGAAGCGACGAGGAATGGGGTTCAGTTTCGCGAAATTCAAGGTGCCGGGCGACAGAAGCGGCACCTTTGGCGGCTTGATTTGCAAGAACGAGCTGAAGTCTTGCATTGTGGCGACGTTTGGCGGAGAGGTTGCCTAGGTGCGCTTGGTGGTGGTTGTGATGGTGATGGATGACGGTCGCAGGAGAAGAAAGGCAGCCCGACAGTTGGCAGCGTCGATTGGACGGGGCAGCAGGTAATAGTAAAAGGCCACCAGGTAGTAGTAAAAAGAGGTGAGCGGCAGGGGTGACGCTTGCCAAGGAGGAACGGCGAGCGCGAAAGAACAAAACGCCGAGTGCACGTCGTTGTTGTGGGCGGACAAGCGGTTGTTTAGTCGTCGGTGCTAGTGATTAAAGCAGAGCGCGCATGCATTCGGGTGTAGCGGCGCTGGGCTCGTGCTGGCGTTGGCGCGGTGGGCTGGGCTGGGATGGAGCTGCTGCTGCTGCTGCTGCTGCTGCGGTGGGTGCTACGTCATGTACAGGGCGAAGGCGTCAACTGTGCCAACTCGGAAGCCGCAAAAGAATCCAACGACGACGACAACCTGAAGGTGTCCAACGCAGGTGTGAGACGACGACAGAGAAGGTCGGAGAGTGTAGGATGCTGTGAGGTTGAAAGGGTCGTCGGGATGGTCGGCGAAAGGGGAGAGAGTGGCGCGGGGAGGGAGACGAGAGGCAGAGCAAAAGGAGAGGAAGCACAATGCAACAGACGAGAAATGTGGATGACTGTACCCATATGTATGATGACCTGGGTCCCAAGTCTGGGTCCAAGTCTGGGTCTGGGTCTGGGCGCGCAGCAGGGGGAGGTGAAGTAAAAGGCAAGCGCAAAGTGGGTGCGCTGCCTACGCTGTGTCTCTGCTCAATCTTACTTGGCCCTTGCCAATGTCTGCCTGCCTTGCCTCGCCTTCTTCGCCTTGTCATCATCGCTCCTGACAGGCCCTCGTTCCCAGTCCCCGTCCCCAGCAGGAGGTACCTACCTGGTCAGCCCGCGCGCGCCCGCTCAGGGAAGCAGCCACCAGTGACCAGTAGACTGGATTAGGTCGTACTGGGGGCCTGACCGCTGCCAGCCTAGCCACCTTGCAGGAAGTGTGTTTGAGCAGGCGCACTGGCACAGCCAGAGGTACTGGGCGAGAGCAATCACAGCGGAAGGGGCGGAGACCAGGGTCATGCCAGATGCCGAGCTACTAGTCCCAGGCCGGCTTGGCTTGCCTGTTCCTTTTCTCCCGCGGGCCCCCCCCCCTAGCTTTTTTTTTTCTCTTCAATTTCCATGGCTTACAGCTTACCCAATCTGCCCACCAAGAAAAGATCTCTCCCCTGTCGTCTGTCTCCTCAGAAACCCCCCGGCCGGCGATTAGGAAGACCCCGAGCACCGCGCGCCCTCATCCGCCCGCGCGCGCCTCGTCCCTTCTAGCAATCACCGGACGGACCTTCGGGCACTGGATCGGTCTAGCCCAGCAATGTGATGCTGTTCGATGGCCGACTCTGTTCCCGATGAGAAGGGCAGGGTGTTGTTCGAATGGCCACGCCCGAAACTCGCAACCAGATGTTCATTATCTCGACAATTTACCACAATCATCCTCTCAGGTTACCTTGCCCCGCCCCCAGTTCATTCCCATGTTCATCAAGGCCACCTAAAATAGCTTCAGAATCCCTCTCAGCGAAGGACCCTCCAGATCCTTCGGGTCGTGAGCGAAGCGCGATGCGATTCGATGCGAGGTGGATGGGACTGCACCTCAGAGCACCAGAAGCGAGATGCATTATTATTGTTGAGTGAGTGACCAGCGTTTGGCGCCGGAAGCCACGGCTCGAGTCACAGTACAAGGCACTGCAGGGTTTTGGGTACCCTGGTCGAGGCGCTAGGTAACAAGGGAGCGCGAAGGATTTCACCTCGCCTTTACCTTTGCCTCACCTCACCTCACCTCGCGTGCACCCTGGCGCCTGGGTCTCCTAAGGAACGAGTCCCTACCTGCCGATAATGTTGAACCGAACCGAACCCGAGTTTAATCGTCGGGCAGAAAAGCTTGCGCAACGGCCCATGCCAACACCCAAGTCAACCGAATTGCCATTGACATGAAAACAATTTCGATCTCCCGCAAGGATACTGTCAGACCTGTCAGACCTCATCTCGAGCTTTGCTGATCTCCCAGCTGACGGCAAAACATCCGGCTTTGCTCGCGTGTGAATCCCCAGAGCAATCTCCCTATCGGCCCCCAGCCAGATCCTCAGAGTCCAAGGTTCCAGGCTCCAACCATACTGAGGATCCGAACCGTAGCGCAGGCTTGCCGGATACTTCTTTGCTTGCTGACTACGAGACCGCGCCCGCCGAGCCTCCAGCTGGAATTGGCCTGGGGTCGCCCCGAAACCAACGACGGCGATTGGTGAGAGCCCCCTGTTCTTGGGACAATCATTTCGGTGAAACGCTGGGCATCCACCACACACGCGACTTGGGAGGGTTTGAGGCCTCTCCTTCATTCATCGGAATTTGGGCACACAGCTTTCAGTACTGCGTGTCAGAACGCGAAATACGGGCGCCAGGGTACGCGTAAATGGCGATGGGCGCCGGCTGATTGACGAATTTTACGATCCACGGACTTTCGCGATGTACGGACTTTCCAATCACCCAGATGACGGTCCATCGGCGTCATCCAGCCTGTCGTTCAATCCCGTTCCGCCGCCTCGAATCCACCTCTGCCGTCTTCAGCAGCGCGCACCCGGCGCTCGCTGGGCTGTTGTGTTGTCAGGCCTGCCACATGCTCCATCGACAATGGAGCTGAGCATTCTTTCTCTCGCCTCTACCCTGCCTGGCCGTCTGCTGAGTCAGGCGAAACCATGTCTTCAGGTCCAATGATGCCGCGGCAACAGACCTTGCACCAGGCTTGGATACCTTGGCTCATGTACCTGTACCTTGGGGCTCCATGCTCGTCCGATGACAAGTCCTCCCTCCCCGACCGCCGCCGCTGCAAGCTCCACATCCGCCGACAAGGCCCTCTGCCTAGTGCACAGTAGCTCGTCCTTGCATCGCTGTGTCACTGGCATGCATTGGGCCATGTCGTCATTCATTTTGAACGTCGAGCTCATCCCTGGTTCGCTGGTATGAGACAAGCTGCTCACGAGACGACTGCACTGCATTTTCGTCCCGCATCGTCTGTACGGCTGGTGTCAAGGCTGCGACGTTGGATGGCGCCACTGCCGGTTTGGGGCACCAACTGCCAAACCAACACTGGCGTGCGCCTTGCGGGGATGCTCATGCGACGACGAGTTTGACGGGCGGCGGGGGCGCGTTGAAGCGCCGACGACGCTTACCTACATGCTGAGGCAACCTAATCTGCAGCCAAGCACGCGACCTCGAAACACGTTGCGCCTGGTACAACCGTTGTCGTCACAGCCTCTCGTCAACAAGATAATGACATGGGTGTTTGACGCACTCAGCCATCCATTCGTCATAGTATTCCCCCAGTTTTGAGGCTTGGCCTATTCGAGGCGCAGAGGATTGTGGCTCGATGGGCGGTTTGACTGTCTCAGCCCCCTTTACTTGCCAGCAGCTCAAGGCACCAGCGAAGGGGGCGACGTCGTGCGTCTGTCATCCAAGTTGTGCACGCATCCTGACCATGGTGCATAAATAAATCATCGATCGAGCAGTATCGGCGTGGACTGATTACCACAGCCGTAGCTCGAGCTCGGGTTGCTCGCTTTCGCTTAGCCGGAGAGCACCACGACGCGTGCGAAAGTGGGAGCGCGGGAAACGCGAGCCCACGCGCGGGGACCGGACCTGTGAAGTTCCCGAGCCCGAATCACCTCCAGATGCGAAACGACCTCCTTCGCTTCCAAACAACAATGTGAGCACACCTACCAGAAGAAGGCCCCTGTGACCCCGCTACTGCGCGCACTTCATCTCTTGTTCGCCGACCGCCGCACTGCCGAGCGAGACCTGCGTTTATCGTTGCAATCCGGGTCGCCTCTACTGCTCCGGTCGGCGATCGCACGTAGATTCAGGCGGTCAGGCAGACAGAGTGAGCAGCCACAGAAGAACAGCGAATCAAACAAGCGCGCTCGGCTCCTAAGCACGCGACAGGCATGAGCATGTGTTTCGTCCCACCCGCGCTGGCCGTATCATTTGCAAGCGTCGGTCGGGCGCTGTCAGGAATCCAACTCTAAAATCATCGTCTGAGGTGATGCGGGGACTCTAGCTCTCCTTGTCTTGGGGCAACGCATGAGCCCAAGCCGTCGATCGGTGCGAAGAGGCGGTCGTCCAGTGAGAGTTCCGCCTCAGCTCTCCCTCGCCCTCTGATCGGGAGGCAGCCAACCAGCCAACGATGGCGACTCGTTTAACGCGGCCAGAGAGACAGAACAATCTCGCTTAATATCGCGACAATGTGCCATTTGCCTGCCAGAAGCCAAGTCATCTCAGCCTTGGTCCTGTCGTCCCGACACCGCAAACTACCGTGATCCTGCCGGTCACCAACCAGCGACGTCACACAAGTTGACGGCATACGCTTTCAACCTTGACGCCCTGCTGCAGGGAGTCACGCTACACTCCCAGACACTACACCACGGTGTCAGAAGACAACACCGGCAATTGTTGGGCTTGACGTGGGCCCTTATCGGACATCCATCGAACACCGCAGCATCTTTTCCTGCACGGTGACACGACAAAGTGGTGCCGAAGTCCGCTCCATTGGTCATCAGCAGCCCTTTTCTGTCCGCCCTAGCGCACTGCTGCATGCTGCACGTCTGGCGTTTCTGCCGTCCACGATCCACGACAAGCCGTCAAGCACGCCGAGGTATCCGGCCTCAAGTGGTGCCAGTAATTCCGCAGGGATTGTGCGCACCACCGGTTCGACCGGTGCCTTGCTTCCCGCTGGATGAGCGGTCACGGTCGCGCGACCCGGACGGCGTCTTCCAGATGGAGACTTGCTATCCACCTTTTTTTTCCACTGATTTTTTTTTCCTCATTCCCGTTCTACCTTGAACCCGCTTCGACTAAGTCTGCGACTCATCTCCGGGCACCGCCGAAGTAGTGTCCCCTGTGAAGCCCGACACATCGCCTTCTCATAGGGCTACCTGCTGCCGCAGGGTTGTGGCTTGTTTAGAACCATGCGCGCAGAATTTCGGCAGGTCAGGGCTTTGAAGTGCCCAGCCACGCGACGACCACGATGCTACATGGCTATACTTCAAACCACTATGCGCGTTCAGGCCTTGACGCACTCGAGTTCGTGACAACCTTGTGTACAAAGGAATGGTGAAACGGTGCTGCTCTAGCTCTGTTGCTATTCGTTGGCCTTGTTTCGACCAGCAACCTTGTCTGATCCCGTCATGTACACGTTTCGGAACAAGGGTTGTTGGTCTTTGCCGTCATCAAGTACATGGTAAGTCCGGTCCTTCCTGGAAGTAGCGGACGGAGTGAATGTCCTACCGGTACCGGAGAGCACGTGTACCGGTCGGCTCGGCAGACGTTGTCATTGCCGGAAGCTTTAGAGGGCGGTCTTGACCGACCCCGGAGCTGAGTCTGTGGTTAAAACACAAAATGCACCACCTTGCGAGCTCGACATGGGCTTGTCTTTGATGACCACTGCGTATCAAGAGTTGCAGTCATCACTAACTGGGACTGATTGCGTTGCTTCATGTGCGAGGCCCTGAAGTCGAACGAAGATGCATACGCTACATAAATTGCGTAACACTAGAGATGACCGTCTTACAGCAACGTCATGTAGGCCAGGGCTCGCGTCGGTGGAACTTTCCCTCTTTAAATCAAGCCTTTCAGGCTCATATCCTGATGACCTTGCTGATCTTCCATGACCTTTGGCCCGCTTGCCATGTGCTCAATCTCTTCTGGCCGGGTCTGGTCTCACGCGTCTTGTGAGCCATCCCCAGCTCCTCCGGATAAAAAAGGGGCCTCGTTCTCGGATCCGGTGCCATTCATTTCTTGGGCTCTACTTCCCAGCCGAGGTCGTCCTCCTCGGTAAAGTCTCTTCGAGCCTTGCATCTCCTTGTTCATTTGCTTCTGTTCCTCGACCTTTGCATCTTTCATTTGGTGCTCAGTCATCACGGTCCCTTTCAGAACGACAACGCAAGCGCCATCATTCTGTGTCGCGATGAATGTGGGCCAGATGACAATGCTCTCCCCGCTGATGGGGCCGCTAGGCTGGACTGACTGTCGATTTGGCGACCTTTGTGTTTCGCTCGCAGGAGGGACAGTGTTGGGGAACGACTTCCAGTCGTCTAGAGACTCGGGATGAATTTCGAGATCTGCCGTAACCAAGAGGGTGTACCTCTGGAACGTCTCCCACATCTCGCTGATCTCGCGGCAGACTTTCTCCAGAGAGGCGCGGAACGATAGGGAGTCTCTTTGACGGAGCAGTGGTTCGACGCATTTGTACACTCCGTCGACGACTCGTCGTGCTTGCGCCTCTCCATGCTCGTCTGGCGATGCACGGAGAAGCACAGATCGCAGGTGATTCGCTTTTGTTTTGTCTTTCATGTACAAAATCAGATCTGAGAGCTCATTGTCCTCCGTCACGAAATATGTCGGCTGGAACATGTAGAGCTCAAGCTGGCGGGATAGGACGGCGAGGAACGAAGCAACGCGCATCAGCTTTGCCGCGGGAGTATTGGACCGCGGCAGTGGGATGCTCAAGTTTCTTTTCTCGTCTTGTGTCTTCAACCTAGCCCATTTCTCCGGGTCAGACAGGACGGCGTCGTCGAGATCGATGCCAACATGTGCGACCGCCAAGGACCGAGCAAGCTCGAAAATGGCCCGCAACTTGGTGATACTTTGCCCTGGTCAGTCGAACTGCGCACCACTCGTTGGGGGGTCGTCACTTACGCTTCCTTCTGATTGAAGGCGACAAGGGGAACCATGTATTGTTCGATGCGTTTGAGGCTGTCTGCGGCAGAGTTGAGCTTCGCCTGCGTGGCCTGCAGCTCTCCTTTGGCCTTCGCCTCCAGAGTCTTGGCCGCTGCCGTATTGGCGCGCTCCTTCTCGAGACTGCCCTTCATTCCCTCGATGGTCTTGTTCATCGACCTCACCCGCGTCTCCGCTTCGGCGCACGATCTCCCCTTCTCAGCAAGTTGCGTCTTCGCAGCCGTGGCCGTCTTGACGGCGCCCGCGAGGTCCGCTTCTAGTTTTGCATTGACCGCGGCCAGCTGCTCCAGCTCACCCTTCTTTTGTTCGACGAGCTTATCGCTGGCGTCTATTCTGGCGTAGAGCTGCGCAGTACTCTTGCCGGTCTCCTCAAGGGTGATTCGGAGATTTTCGTTGTTTCGCTCGAGCTCCTGCTTCTGGCTGAGGAAGCTCTCTACGACTTCCGTCCCATCGTTCGACACGATTGCTTTGATTGACTGGATCAGGGTCCCTAGAACCTCGTCGGGCCTCGCGATCTTTGCCATGTCGGGGGAGAAGATCGGTCGTTGCAAAGGGCGTGGTACGACCTCAAGTGATGTCGAGGCTGCAACAGAGACGAGACCATGCCGTCCATTATATAGCAACGATACCTGCGCCTCCGCAGCGTTGATCAATGCCGCTCATTCGTCACCAGGCCTCCATTCTTCATGAGTTGGCCAGTTCAGACAGCCCACAGCATGCCAACACGCATCCTCGAAGATGGGTGTCTGCCCGCCTGCCTTTCCTGTCCTCGGTGTTCTCGATTCGAGGCTGTCGGGCAGCACGGGAGTGGTCGTGCGGCATCTCTGTCAGTCATTCCGTACCATCCATCAGGCGTAAGGGGCCGGTTTATGGACCGCCGCTGTCACATGCAGCTGCACGTTGGTGCAAGACGGCCTGTAGGGCCACGCTGGTAGAGCCAGGCGGGCCTATCAGCGTGGAGCGGTCGACCACACCGGTCGAGTGACGACAGCCTTGGAGTAGGCGAGAACCAGGACGACCGGACAAGCGATGGGATTGCCGGACGGTTGCGTCGTCGTTGGTGGGCCTCCCGCATTTTGGGGGGGAGGGGGGATGTCGAAAGGCTGCGGTGTTGTGGGAGTTGCGATTGGCGATCATGGCTTGCCATCTACTCCAGGACACGTGAATGTTGAGGGCCTGTAGACATGGGATGTTCGTGTAGTCGACGAGGATAGTTGAGGAACTCATCGCCGGGCTGCACGAGCTTGACGATGGCGAGCCCCGTGCCCGGTACTAGCTTCGACGATGCTCTCGTCAGCGCTGACGGGGGCCGGGTCGAAGGAGAGCTTGGCCTGAAAGCGGGTGATGAAGCTACCGCGGACATGGCGGGTGCCTATGACCGCCTTGAAGGTTCTCTCGATCGCGGCGGCGCAATCATTGCAAGTAGTGTCCTGAACAGACATGGTCAGGGGACCGGGCCCCGGTCTTTCGCGGCGGAAGGTGTCGGCCTGGCTTTCGACGACGGCCGAGACGGACTTGGCAGCGTCAGCTCTCCCCGAAGCGAACTCAGAGTCGGTGCTCCGTTCCTTTCCAGCGCAGCACGAGTAAGCGAAGGCCTGGGCCTTTGACGAACATTGAGGCTTGAGAGCTCAGGAGTTCGGGCCAGCCTTACCGGCAACTGACTTATGAGCTTTGCTCTTCACGGTGCAGCAAGTCTGGTTGGTTGCGAGGTTCTCAAGCATGCTGCGGCAGATGCACTTGGCCTTCGCTTCTCCGTAGGTGACATCCGTAGTGGATTACTAGGTAGGGGGTAGGAATGGAACCCAATTTTAACCCTCCATAACCCTTATATACATCCTCTCGCAGTCCTGAGCCCTGAAAGAGCCCCCTATCACGTGGCTCTGCAGGTATCTCCTGACAATAGGCCAGACTTCACGTCGCAGATCTCGTCGAATCAGCAGCAAATGTGCTTCTCAATGGCGTCTGAGACGCCACTAGGCCTTGGAGAGTCCTGGACAATAGTCGCGGGACGGTTGCCGGCCGTGGGCTGAAGCGAGGACCCGCGGCGAACGCGCATGTTGAGGTTGTGTTCAGAGATGATTAAAGGCTGATTGTGATGAAGACTTCAAGGTTTCATCCGGATCTTCGCAACATTGGGCGGAAAATAAGGACATGTTGAGTTGTTCGGTGAATTCAGTATATGAATTCGAATCTAAGCTTGAGCACATCGCTATGTGGAAGTACCAGGGGCTGATTGCCCCGGGTTATTGGAACGGAAGGCTATCACCGACGCTAAGTCAATGACGCACAGCAAGTAGAAGGAAATTTGTTATCTTGGTAACTCTGATTCGAGAGTTCTGTCCTGTTGTTGAGCTGCGGCTTCTGATCACAACTGCCAAGGCCCAAGGTAGGACCGAGGTGAACGTGGATTAAATCTACCTCGGCAGGCACCAGGATTGCAAGGCACTCGTACCACTTGAGGTTTTCGACGGTCTCAATGATGAAATTCGAGACGTAAAGAAGATGAAAAATTTTCCAGTCCCTTTATACGTTAACATGAATGATGACGTTCAAAAGCTAAAGGCTTTTATAGCGAGGCACTGACAGCGCTTCTGCAAGGCTTGGACTTCGTGACAACTTATTTGGTAGCTTGCCCCTGATCGAAGCGCGTAGCTGTTTTGGTAGATTTGTATTGGAAGAACACTGTTGTTGCCCCGTGGATGCGCACAAGGTGCGCTTGTTGATCCCGTTGCTTGACGATTGCCCGTTGGTCACCTAGGTCGTGCAACAGCTATGTGATTTGTAGTAGCATCTGAAATGGCGTGATGGACAGATCGTAAGTTTCAGGCATGCTGCATCCATACTCGCGCAACCAGAGAAAAGACAACGAACAAGACTTAAATATACTACGAAGACTCTAAGCACCCTAGAAACCCAGATCGGCCGTTATGGTCATAGTCTAGCAATCAACAGTATCTCTATCTCCCATTGCGCCTTGATCCATTACAATCTGAGCTCTCAAATCAAATCCTGAGAGAATCGAAGCGATAGAAATGGGGGCTGTGGTACTGCACCAGACAGTGTACTGCTCGACCAAAAAGTCCTTGGCAGAAGTCTTGGGCTCGTTCTTCATCAACTCGACGAGAACGTGAAACGCGATCTCATCCAGCCTATCGCCAATCAATGCCGCGCAAGATGAACAGACTTGCGACTCAATACACCAGTTTGCCACTTGAACGAGGAGCGATGCCCATTGTACAGATGAAGCATTTGCAACCGACGGGCTGATTTCGATTGCCGAAGTGACGCTGTACTGTGTGTTTAAGATCTTATCGGCAAGGAGGTCGTGGCAGTTTCCGCAGATGTCCAAGCCCCTCAAGACCGAGTCCCCGGACAAAAGGCGCTTATCCATCACGACTTTGTAGGTATGTTGAGTGCGTGACTTTGTTTGTCGAATTCCGTCGCTATCAATGGAGAGCTTCCAATATACAACAAGGTCGCTGTGAGTTATGTTGTATTCTTGGTAGACCCGTTGCTGGCGAGAAAAGGCCATGATCTTGCCGGCATCTGGATGCTGCGACCGTTTCAGCAACTTCGAGTACTTGATGTATCGCTCTAAGCTCCGGTAGCGTCCGTTGAAAGGGGCCCAGCAGCCGGTCCCGAGGGCCGCAGTGTCTCCATAGAGAGGAACTTCACCCTCTTTCAGCAGGTTGATTCTCTCTGCGATTGAATCCATCCCGGAGTGTGCCAGGACAGTATGCCAGTTGTCCAGGGAGCCTCCCTTGACTTCAGCGTATAAAATATTGGAAACTCGATTTTGGGAGCAGATGTCGTAGAGAACGTCGTGCGAGTTAGCAACGATCATCGAGATGAACATTGATGGTTTTCCCAATCGGTATTGCTCGCTGTTCTGATAACCGTAGGGTCCTTGTCCGCCACAGTCACCTACGGCCAGACGGATACACTCTTCAGGGCTCATTTCAATATCCCCGAAGCTGAATGCTCCATGCTGCTCTCTAATCCACCGTTCGTGCTGCATTCGGACAAGTTGCTGGATATCATAGCTGAGGAGAGCAGCGAGGGCGAGACCGCGCATACCGTTCTCAGGAGATAAAAGGCACATCTTTGCAACTCCGAGAGAGTGCTCGAATGCGTACTTGAATTCTGGACGGCGATCCATATCATAATCGACACTGCTGAGCATCTGGAGACAGGCAGCCTCGTCCATGACAGCATCGGGAATGATCTTCTTCATCATCCCATGCCAAATCCAGGCTGGGCAAGGGGGTATGTCGACAACTTGAAGTCCATTCCATCGGCTTGCTATCGCAGCGTAGTCAGGATGGAGTTTCCAAAGTTTGCCTCCAAGGGTTTTAGGACCGACTTCAACAGCAGAAGGGCGACATGCGCTCCTTACAGTCATCGTAAGGCCATGACATGGAGTTTTTTTCGTCGTGCCGCGAACCTTTTCGTACATAGCGACAGCGACCAATGCGTCTTCAAGCATCTCGTCGTGCTGTTTCAGTTCCGGTAAACTGTTCGACAAGAACCTCCATGTCGATATCGCGCCGCACGATTTAAAGTGAGCTTTTGCGGCTTCCAGCGTCGCCGAGGATTCCGTGCCTTGCAGTTTGAGCCAGTCCAATACCAGTGATAACCCTTGCACCTGCTGCAGATCAACTGAAAATAGAGGGGTTGCATGGGTTGGCATGTTGGAATCGTCCAAGGGCGGTGCCCAATTTGCGAAGTGAAGAAGAAACTTGGTGAAGAGGAGGAGTTTGGCGTGATACACCTATTAGTAGCTCAGTCAAGGCGCTGTTTTATCTTCTTTGTGTAAATTATGAGCGACAATCCGCACACTAAGAGGGAACTTCTCCTCGTGTTTGTTATCCTGAATAGCTTGGACTCAGACACTTCGAGCAGGGAACGGCTTCAAAAACAAAATGGCATTGGCCTTAAAAAGTGGCAGACGTTGATTAGGAAATTGTGAGACAAACAACGCATCATGACGCAGTTATGCTTTCCTGAATCTAAAATACGAACTCGTTATCAGTATCTTTTGCCAATAACATTTCTGGGCTTTGGCCCATTGTGTTGACGTCGTCATGGAAAGTCGTCACGGTGGAGAAATTCAAGCAATGGCGTGAGAATATACTCTGGAACCGGGCTGTAAGCAGGAACCGCATGTCATTCGCGGTAGCGTTTCTTGAGAGCAACGACCTCATGAGTAGCCTTGCCAGGTATATGTGTGGTTGCGGCCTAAATGTGGTCTTCGCCGCACGAGAAGCAGCACGGCTTGCTGGGGGGAAGCACGAGAACCTTGCCGCACAAGAGTAACGGCTTGGTGGCGTTGATGTTTGCTTTGCGGCGGCCACACAGGCTGATTCGGCATCCAGGGCTCAGGGCTGTTATCGCGAGCCCGATGGATAGATTCAAGGTGAGACATTTGGTGTGCGCGCCTCTCCGAACAATTTGGTTCTGCTTTAGTCACATCTGAGCCAGCCTCGCTAGAATGCTGGCGTGGTGCGCTGGAGGGACCAAGTTCTAAGGCCGGAACACGGCTTGACATGAGAACATACGCCTTGCTGTTCTGGGCTCCTATCAGGACGTGGAGGTAAGAAAAGTGAAAATGTCTTCGCAGGTGATATGCGCGTGCATTTGTTAGGTACTTAAGTATGGGGGGAGACTCCATCTGGCCCTTCGCAGCCCTTATATACGCGCTCTCGTAGGCCCCTCGCCAGCCCCCTGTCCTGTGGCTCTGCAGGCGCCTCCTGATACTTCTTCATTGAACCCTCATCCCTTTAGCGACTATTGAGGATCGGGGATCTTCTGTAATTATAATAAAATTCAGGGGGGGGGTAAATGAACTTCGATTTACTACTCCCTTCTCTCTTCGGGTTTAGTAAGTTTGGAATCGGATGTCGGAGGCTACCTCATAATGAGGTATCAAGGGCGAGGCAGCTGTATCAAAAAAAGCCAGAAGTACTGTTCTGAGGCCTCTATTTGCCATACCTACTTAAAATTGATACACATGCCCCCTACTTACCTGTCAATCAACGATTGAATTGCGTCACTGAGATTGATGTGACCACTCTGGAGCTGCTGCATGACGCTCGTGACACTCCTCGACAGAGAACTGGATGAAGACCGTCATACTGAGCGTCTCTGTATGAAGCAGCTAGACAAAGCTTCTCGGTCCAATACTGAATCTGGACATGAATGTGCGCTCAGACTACGTGAGCATCCGTGGTGAGCACTCAAGATACGGCGCTGCCACCCTTCGGCACCGCGAGACAGAGCACGGTACCTATGCAAGCTAAAAGTCAAACACAAAAAGCGAAGCTTGAATCATGAAAAGCGCATGTGATTCAAGAGTTGTCCGTCTGATGGCGAGCCGAGTCTGTATAGTAGCATGCTTGATTGAGCGACTGGAAGGGTTGAAAAAGGTGAACCACATACACTACCAAAGTGCTCATGCAATGCTACTCTCATCAACTTGTATGGACGGCGCATCATTAAGCCGGGAACATATGACACAGATGCCGTGTTGCTTGCCGCGCGAGACTTATTCGCATGCCATTGGACGTGGCCCCTTCAATGTGGTAAAGGGTTTCCTTTTGGGAACAGAATAATACCGTTGCGCTCCGTCGCAAAAGAAGCAGAGGCCAAGTTTGCCGTGACACTGTACTGACTGATGCTGAATAAATAGAGCCCCTGAAGCTTGTGACGATGACAAAACTGACTAAGTATACGAGCTCGTGGGGCGGTCGGCCTGAGATTGCTCCGCACGAGGGCTGTGTCAATGAGTCCAAAGCGCGTGGCCTGTCGATCGAGCCAGCCAACAATATCGACTTCTTGGCAGCTTCTAGATAGAGTAACAAGGGACAATCTTCAGGGTCAACCGACGTTCGGAAGAAGAAGGCTCTATATTGCAATGCCAACATCACGCCCTTGGCTCAGTCTGAGAGAATGGCAGGTATAAGTCTCAACCCGTTCGCGCCCTTCAAGACTATTGCGCCATTGTTGTACCCATCAGCACCATAGAGCCCCATCTCAAACTCAGCGTTTCACTCGCCATCATGCAGATCTCATCCGTCCTCGCTGTCCTTGGCTTTGCCCTTGGCGTCACGAGCGCCGCCGTGGAGGCCCGCCAGCTCACCGAATGCACCCCGATCCACACCAGCAAGACCACCTGGGGTCAACACCCGATCTGCTGCGACTACTTTGGCCCTTCCGCGGTACGTCGTGACCTTACCTCCTGTCGTTCTGCCAGACCGAAAGCCCTGGATAGGGACAGCTCCTCGCCGCGTACCGCTCAAAGCTGACCTGTCATGCAGTCCATGGAGAACTGCTGCGATCGTTCGCCCAGCACGCCGACCGGCGGCGACTACTGCGGCACCCACTTCGCCGACAAGGACTACCCCCGCGCCATGCCCTTCATCCGCACGTGGGCACCCGAAGCCCACCTCTGCTGCAACGGCCTGCCCGAGGTACGTTTGAGCGTGCGGCGCGCGCGGGGAACGCAACTGCCTGCCACAGAGCGCCCCGCAGACGTCTGTAGAGTAAGGACTTGCATGGCTGACAATGCGTGTAGCTCAAATGCTGTGACCGTCTGGGCACCGACAAGACGGGCAAGCCCCTGTGCTCGTCGATCGGACCCCTGTCGCTTTAGGCGCATCACGTTGATAGAGGGAGTCGGGACAATCGTGACGAGGTCTGGTAATCGGAACCGGGTGCTTCTATGAGTTTGGACTCCTGAGGAAGCCTGATCCGTCTTTGCAGGCTCAGCCGTGTCATGTATTCTGCTCTTCAGATGCTACATGTGAATATTTCCAGACGTCATGATCAGCCGACGTCATAGTATATAAACCCTAGGACATACGCCGAATGACCGTGATTCAAATCGCTTTGATGCTATGCCTAGACCGGCTTGAAGTCGTTGCGTTATAAAGGTTGGAAGGCCGGGTGGGCATGGGCAGTAGTACTGTGTTGCGGAAGCTCGATAATACTTTGTCGCATTAGAACAGATGCAGACGAAAGACGAATGACACACTCGAATACATCGGAAATACGCTCGGTCTGCGTGACGTAATAAGAGGTGCCTGCATAGGTATAAAGAAATTCATTGACTCCTCTGTCCCATAATTATCATACCTCGAATCCAGTCGAGACGTACACAACATAAGAAGCGCTCACCATGAACTCTCTCTCTCTCTCTCTCTCTCCATCGTCTCAGCCCCTCTCCGTTGGCTCAAGTCATGTGGCTCAATGGCCAGCACAACCCCATCATATCCTACTGCTGGGCAAGCCCAGTACCTGACCACGCAGGCCTCATATGCTATGCTCCAGGTCAGATTTGCCAACAAGGGCTACAGCCGCCGAACTCGTGCCGTTTGCTACATTGCACATGCGACCGATTCCGGCAGCGCGCCTGCCTTTGTTTGTGTCGCGCTTGATTTCATGCATCGTATCTCCTCAACGCGTTCCATGCTCATACTCATCGCCGCGGCGGCGGTGACCAAAGACCCTTACTCGTCTCGGTGACCCGGTTTTGGGCATTGCCAGGCTGCAGAATGGCTGGCACAGCATCGGTCATAACGACGTCTTGCAACTCAGAGGTCGTGCCGTACCCAGAGTCCTTCTGGGTCAAGCCACCGCCTCCAAGACTTATAGCACTGTCTTCCTTGCGAGTGGCGCCGTTGCCCTGTTGCTGCGGTCTTGCGCCTCGTGCCGGTTCCTTGGATGCGGCGCCGTCCATCAGGTTGCTCTGTCCCTCCCGTAGTTTGTTGATAGCACGGACTGTGTCAATGGCCGCATGCAGGGTGCGCCTGGCATTGAAGTTTTTCTTTACTGTCGGCAGCAGATTGTTCTCGTTCTTCTCGCCTCCTGAAAGCGAACCGGCAACGAAGGCATGCTGGAGAGCCTCATGGGCAGTGGGTCTCTTGGTCGCGTCAACAGTCAGACAGCGGCGGACAAAGTCCTTAGCATCCTCGGAAACGCCGCGCCAGTACTCTGAGGGCCGAAAGTCGTACTCTGCTTTAAGGATGGCCTGCATCTCCTCGAAATCCGAGTCACGGTCAAAGGGTGTGTAGCCGCAGAGAAGGAAATAGGTGATGACGCCGAGAGCCCAGATATCAACAGGCTTGCCGTGGCCCGTCTTCTTGAAGATCTCTGGGGCCATGTAGCCGGGGGTGCCACAGGTGGTCGTCAAGACGTGGAACTGCTCTTCATCCATGATACGGCTGAGACCAAAGTCCGCAATCAACAGGTCTGCGTTATCTTCCGGTGTTCGGAATAGGAGGTTCTCGGGCTTCAGGTCGCGATGGACGATACCATGGTCGTGCAGGTAGGCGACGGCAGAGAGGGTGGCTCGGATCAGGTCAGCGGCATCAGACTCATAGTACGAGCCCTTTCGGCAGATGCGGTCAAAGAGCTCTCCACCCAAAGCCAGATCAGTGACTAGGTAGAGGTTGTTCATCGTCTCGAAGTAGTCGACGAGAGTCAGGATGTTCTGGTGGCCCATTGACACCTTCTTCAGGACTGCGATTTCGTTTCGAACCTAAACGAAGCGGGTGCTGTCAGTCAACTGGATCTCTGAGTAACGCCACGCTTCCTCGCGACTCGGCGCAAAATAAGGAACAGACGGGAAGCAGAATGTACCATGTGCTCGCGGCCAGCCATCAGCCGCTTGTTGATGACTTTGGCAGCATAGTAGCGTCCGGTATCTATGTGGACACACTCTTTGACGACAGAGTATGATCCTGCACCGAGGGTCTTGCCCACTTTGTACCGACACGGCTGGATCTGGGCCTGCTGACGGGCAGCATCAGCACTACGACTGTTCCCGTTGGCGCTCATCGCTGTCGCCATGTGGGGTTATGCCGGTGTCGAGATGTCCAGCGCGAAAACCGGCGACAATCAATGTTGTTCAGGTAAGGCGACGTGCGGATTTCCGTGCCGTCTTGTAGGGCGACGTCAAATCGATCCTAGGTTTGTCGGCGTGGGGAGAGGGGTGAGGTGCCCAAGCAGCGGTGGCGGACTCGGTGGGGCAGAAAGCACAGAGAGCGGACGGGGTATATCGCGCAAGCAAGGACGATAGGAAATCAAGAGGAAAGGTAACTGTTCGACAGAGACGACAGTTGCCAGCAGCGAAGAGCCGAGAGTGTTGGGTATCCAGGGTCTGCGACTCAAGGGTTGGTATCAGAGGAAATTCGCAGTGCAGATGCTTGTGTCTTGGTGGTCGAGGTCCCAGTCTTGACCCAAGACCAAGTAAGTCCCAGGTGCGGGGTGCCCCAATCGCTATTCGGTAAGAGCAGGTGAGCAGGGATCGGCGGTCGCGCCTATCAGCTTCAGGGTCTCGACAACTATGTCAATTTCTGGACTGCTCATCAGACTTGGGAGCCGCGGCCGCACTTAGTACTGGTGACGCAATGTATTAGATTACTAGTTGTCTGTTATCTGATCAATGCCTCATCTCTGGTAAGAGTGGTATGGTTTTCAAACAGTACGAAAGTAGAAGAATCAGGCGCCGCAGCCAGCCCAGGAGCGGAGGATCTGGCGAGAAAGATCAAGCTTCATATGACCCACAAGCTGCTCACAAACTCTAGCGCCTTGTGGCTGGCGAAGCTGAACCAGCGGTTCACTGGTGATTCTGAAGAAAGAAACACGCCCCCGATCGTTCTGGTCATGTACGACTTCAGCTCCGACGTCTACTCTCGTTCAGCCGCAGCTCGAAGCAGGCTGGTCCGGTCACGAGAGGAGAAGTTGGCATGTCCTACATGCTGACCTCGTTTACCATGCTATGCCCCATCACCTCGGGTTTCTCTGTCGCCGCCATTGATCTTGATAGCTATGCCACGACCTCGTGCCTGATGTCAAAGCACGGCTTTAGCCAGCCACAGTTCAGCAGGGTTGACGCGCCTCCCTTCCAATTGCCGACGAGCCCTTTCCATTCTCTGCTTCAACTGCTGGTGGTCGTTAGAGCTGCAGCGTTTGAACGTATCGACCCGACAGGCGGGGTCTCGTCCTGCGCGCCCAAGCCGCCAGACCGCCACCACGCGAGCCTGTGATCGATGAACCATATTTTAACGACCAAAAGTCGCTTGTCTTGTTCGAGGCTCCCTGACAGCTGCTGCGACCGTCTCGCGCTCTCTGAGCTGAGTGCCGCCGAAGACCATGACGGAGACAAGACAACAGCGAGCAAGACTCATGGCTGATCATTCGACCGCCCTACGGGACTGCTTCTTGGAGCTGTGCTGTTTCTTCTCACGCAGCCTTGCCCTGTCAAATGATCTGGCTCTGAAGAAATCATCAGTGGGTGATTGACATTGTCTCCAGTCCACACTCACACCTCTTCGTGCTTCTTCCGCTTTCCCGGCGTCGTTTCACCGGGGACTGACTCGCGATAGATCCGCTGGACTTCCTCAACAAGCTTTTCCAAGTTTTCGTCCGTGTTTGCGTCTCGATGTCTGTGGGTTTGAGCCTGGAACGAGAGAGAATCCGACCGTGAAGTGTAATACTTGGAGGCCCGGATTCCTGGATGCATCAGTTTGGGCAAGGCTGTCAATAGATCTTTGACGGACCATGCCGTGATGGCCTTGGTTTCTGTTCTGGAAGAAGCGAGTGTGAGACTTTGTCGAGACGATGGCAGTGGTGATGAGAACTGGTGCGTACTTGTTGACATGCTGCCCTCCGGGACCGCTGGACGAGCGAATGTAGTTTGCCCTCTGGGTAAACGGCCGGCATCGAATGACTTGTGCCATTCCCTCGCCTCCTGCAGTTCGTCGGGATCAAACGCGGCGTCGAACGCCTGATATCTGATAGACCTTGATTGGACGAGGGCACCTTTCGTGAAGGAAGGAATCCTCCTAGCAGGCAAGCGCAAAATGTTGGAAGAAGCCATCCCTGAGAATATCACTTGACAGATTAGAATGTCCGAAAAGGGGGGGGCCTTTGAGCTGATAGGAGAGGCTTTGGGGCCGATGAACGGATCATTGTGAGGCACCTTTCACCAACGATGCGACGCAGCAGGCTCCCGTTACGCTGTTCCAGCGATGAGACCTAGAAGCGAAAGAATGTACCCCGTGTGTGACGCTTTGTGCACACTGTCAAATGCACGGCCCAATCCTCCAACCAGAGGACCTTGGTGCCCCCTCTTTCCCCTTTAGGTTAGCCCTCGGCAGAGTCGTGCTTGTCTTTTTCTTCACTCTGCACCTACGCGGTACCTCCTCCACCTTTGATGGACGAGAGTGATTGGAACTTGGGGCTCGTCACTTCCGACTGGCATCATCCATCGCACTTGCTCTCTGGATCAATTCTCTCTCCTGCCACTCCTCCCACCTCCACCTCTGTCCCTGTTCGTGATCCACCACAGCCTGGATTCCCAAAGTTTACTGGAACACGTGAATCCATCTACCGGCTTTCCCCTCATGCTCAGGATCCATGGGCCAACGTTCAGACCATACCTAGACCGCATCCGCTGCCCACCCACTCAACCACGCGACCATCCTACGTCTTTCAGGCCGAGCTCTCCTTCGAAATCTCTTTGCGTCCTCCTCGGGCCAGGTATAGCTCGCTGCCTGCCATCATCGTCGACGCAGCCCTCCCTCGGGCTACTTTTTGATCAAGTGCGCCGACAGTTGCTAGTTTGCGACGTGCACTACTTTGTGGAACCGTCGTTGCCATCTCGTCGCGCCCATCACAGCCTCGCCTGCCTCGCCTTGGGCTCCGCGACCACCACGATTGCAGAGCCTTCCCCAGGACCCAAACCCCGCCCTGATCCCCTGCCACCCACCACTTTCCAGCCCGTTCTGCTCTAGATCAGACTCCAGCTCAAGGCAGAAGGATTGACCTCTTGTGCGCATCGTATCAATTGCCAACATCCAACCCCCCATAACAGCGCAAGCGTCTGCAGGTTTTGCAAGTGCGCGTGCGCGGCGTCATCGAGGCTCACTTTCCATGCCAGGTTCGGCAACACCAGAGATCCAGGCCACGGCGGCCGACCTCTCGCCAGTATCCCCCAATCCCGTGCACGCCGTTGCGCCTGTCGTGCTTCCCGCCCTACAAGACACTGCCGACATGCTTGATGCCATGACCGAAATGCCATCGGTTCAGGAGATCAGAGACGCTGGCCTGAGCCTCGTCCCTGTCTCCGAACCTGCCCCGCCACTCGCCAACACGCACAACGATCAGAACATAAACGACAACGATAGCGAGCTTGACAGCCTCGATGAAGCATACAAAGGAGAAGAGGGGGATGCGACAGGCAACCCACTGCAGAATGAACAAGAACAGCCTGATGCCGTCGAGGATGACTACCTCAAGTCCTTCGACTCGCCTGTTCAGGATGAGCTCGACACCGTCGCGGGACAGCATCATGTATCCCAAGCAGCAGACTCCCACACAAATCACCTTTCTTCCGATCTTTCGCAGAACGCTCAAGTGGTTCCCGATGTTGACTCGTCCACGACTCGGCAGCCCCCAGCTGCTCAGCCTGCCTCCCAGCCAACAGCCGATACCATCATCTCCAACGGACGCCCAGAGTCCGCGAACGGCGATGCGCAAGCCATTGACATCTCCCGCCTCGTGGCCGAGATGACCGCCCAGGCAGATGAACATTTCGTCCAGCAGCCCACCCTGTCCAAATCCCAGCCAGAGCCTACCCAGGATATGCCTCCATCTGCGTCTGCTTCGCTACCCCCCAAGCCTCCCGTGACAGACGGTGCTTCTCTTGTCCTTGCGAACCCGGATGACATCCATCTGCTTCACCAGCCGCACGGCGTGCCGAATCATCCCACTCATTATGCAACTGCCGGAGCTGCAGGCAATTTTGCCGATGCTGCCCACTTCCAGCCTCCTCTTGCTCCCACGTCGTTCAATGTCCCTCCTCACCCTAGTCCTGCCGACTTCAACAAGCCGCCCAACGAAGCTACTGATTCCAACTCTCTCTGGGAGGCTTTTAATGCTGACGAGCGGAAATATATGGCGGAAGCGAGATGGGATAAATTCCCTGAAGGCTCCAGGATCTTTATCGGTCGGTCCACTCCCCGATCGATTGTTCTTTGGCTTCCACTAATCTATTGTTAGGCAATCTTTCTAGCGAACGAGTCTCAAAACGGGATGTCTTTAACATTTTTCGCCAGTACGGCCCCTTGGCACAGATCTCACTCAAGTCTGCGTACGGCTTTGTGCAATACCACACCGTGGATGATGCACAAGGTGCCATGCAAAACCTGCAGGGTGCGGAGGTGAAGGGCCGCAAGATTCGTGAGTTCCGCCTTTGTCCAGGCGTAGTGATCATGACTGATGGATTCCAGACCTCGAGATCTCGAA